AGAGGATGCTGAAGGAGAGCGGGAGCACCCAGGAGCGGTCCAGCTCCTCCACCAAGGACAGGCTGCCTGCCAAAAAGACCAGTAAAGTAAAGCATTCGGAGGTCAGCATGAAAGCTCCCGCCACCCGAAAGCAGGCTGCCATGGAGAGAAGTAATAAACTGGCTAGAAAAATGTCTTTGAAAGAGAAGAGAGCCCCAAAAAGGCAGCTGGAGAAGGTGCGGCTCCCCATGCGGAAGGGCAAGGAGAACACGAGCAGACGGGCCGTGCTGCCCCCCGGCCATGAGGAGCTGGCCAAGTCCCCAAAGCAGAAGCCCCTGGGGGAGTCCTCCACGCGGTCGCAGAAGATGGCCAACAAGAAGCCCAGCAGTGGGAAGACCCTGACAAGGTCTATGAAGAAGATGCAGGAGAGCAGCGGGTCGCAGGGCAAGAGGAAGCTGAGGGCAAAAGTGGACTGTTCGCACAGCAAACGCTCGCGACTAGACCCGAAATAGCGAAGAACCGGTAGCCATGTACAAAACTGATGTATAGTAGTAACCCTTTACCATGCATTAACTAAAGCTGCTTTTATAAGCTGTAGCAAGCCTTTAAAAATCCGCAGTTAACGGATAACGCCCGTGATTTTAGGCATCGGCAGATGTGTCTTGGACAGAGAAGAGGTTGGCCTGTCTGGCTCTGCTGTTCAGAAGGAAGGTTCTGCAGTTTGAACGTTCCTGGAGTTTTTTTAAACTTGGAACCAGGCAGTTTTAGTTAAAAGTACAGTGCCTTATTTATCACTTTAAAAATAAAAATAAGAAGCTCGTCTGTGTGATTTGGAGGCTTGCGTTTTATACTTGAGGCACAAGCACTTGTACTGTAGCAGAAAGAAAACCACCTTCGTGCACATGAAGTAGCTTTCGGCAGCCTTTGGGTGCACGCAAACATTTCCCTTTCCTTCAGAGTCCTCCTTCTGTTTGTCTTCTTAGTGGCATTTAAAGCAAAACCAAAACCATTTCCCATCACTGAGGGAGAGAAAGGCAAATCTGTCCTTTAGCGGTTCGTTAGTAGCAGCTGCTGGTGTCCCAGACTGTTACCTGCATAAAAGTATTAGTTACCTACTGGTGTGTGTACTGCTGATGGCTGCCTCGCTCCCCCATTGCACAGCCCGTGGGGTGGGGAAGTCCCACTCAGGCGGAGACGGCAGAGGAGATGCTGCGGGTACCAGGCTGCTGCATCCACTGCTGCCGGGTGGGCGCACTGGGCTGTATCCGTCTTTATTTCTTGCTGGCTTCAGGGATGAATCGGTCCTGCCATGCCCTGCTTTTGGACAGACCTCCTTCTCCCATTTTGCTGCGCTCATGGTGATTTCTGTGGTCTCTGATGGCAAAGCAGTTTCCGCAGCGCTTTGCTGAAGGTTGTCTCCCTTTTTAGAGGCTTGTGCTCCTTCTGATGTTGGTGCTCTGCAGAAGAGGAGCCCTGGCCCTTACCCTGTGCTATTGGGCACGTCTTGCCTTGCACCCTCCTCAGCCAGGATTTGCAGTTGGAATACAGTTGGGATAAGGGACTGACTTAAGTTTATTTTTTACCGTAATTTGCATTTCATCCTTTTACTAGCAAGGTGCGGTTGGATTGTCCTTGCTTGTGTCTGGTGCTGTGGAGTCTGAAAGCCAAGCCTCTACCCTGTCCTGCGCGACACCTTTGCAGGGCTCCTCTGCAAGCCTCTGCAGCACGTTTAAAAGCCAGCTGGGGGTCTGCAGTGGCAGAAGAGGGTCATGGTGCCTAGCATCTCTGAGAAAAACCTGCTAGAAGTGCACAGAGCGTGTGGCTGTGCTGGCTCTGCCGGGCAGAGATGATCAGCGGCTGAGAAGGGACCGCTGCGGTCTGTGCTCGGGGAAAGGACCCTGCTCAGCCATTGCACCTCCACGGCTTCACTTTTGCATTGCTGCACAAAGTGCACTTGCATGAATCCCGATGCAAGCCTCCTCCCACGCAGGAAACAGCAACGCCCGAGAGAGCACCGCTCGGGCTCTGGGGTCGCCTGACCTTCAACAGCCGCTTGCTGGTCCTTGCTCAGCTCCTTGTCCCCACTCAGAGCAAGGCTCCGGGGCAGGCCACGTGTTTGAGAGATGCCTGCCCTGGGGGCAGAGGCCAGAGAGGGCTTGGCTGCCATGGGAATTGCTTTTCACGGTTGGCGTTGAACCCCAGATCCCAAACCCCATGGGCTGGAGGTGGAAAGCAGATAACCCTCTTTAAATCTTTCATTGTACCCATTTAGTACAGAGGATGAAACAAGTCGTTTGAGATTCGCACGCCCTTCGCAGAGCACCTCTGGCGCTCTTGCAGGTATTCCCTTCCCCCAGCGCTGACGCACACGAGGCTGCGGCACATTTTTCTCTTACTATGAAATGGCTGATTTAAAAAAAAAAATCCTTTACCTTTCCTTTGAATCATGCTAGAATAAGTTAACTCTCTGAACAGCTAGGAAGTGATTAAATCTAGCCTGTCAGTCCCTGTACAGATTAATATGAAGTTATCTATTACTTTAATTTTTACTGCATGCATTAAATATGTCAAACATTCCATCAGAAAAGATTTAAAAGCATTTCAGGAGAGGTGTGAGGCAGGAGGGCACTGATGGCAGTTAAATGACTGATCTGTACCTTTCTTACAGGTTGTCTTTCCCTCTTGCTTCTCCATCCGTACTTACGGTCCTCCTCTAACCTCCGGCTGGGGCAGCCTCTCCACATGCACATGGGCCCGGGATTTCCCTCCTTCCCCTGGGCTGGGCATGCGTGTGAGCACCCCTCTTACCTCCGTTCTTCATGCTGCTCCCTGGCAGTGAACCCCCATTTCCCCAGCCTTCACAACCCCTCTTTCTCCGTCCTTTACCATCGCTCCTGAAGCGCCTGCGCCGGGCTGTGCCTGCAGAGCCGTGCGAGGCACCACACACCGAGCGCTCCTCGGGGCTTTCCCTCTTTCTTGCTCTCTCATTTTTTAGCCGCTCATAAATGCAGGCTGCTCTGCTGTCCATATTCCGTGCTTCTGGGATGAAAACCTCGACAAAGCAAGTGGAGAGAAGCTTTCTGGATGGGGTGCTGCTGCTCCAGCCTCCCAGCTGCCTTGCTGCACCCTGGGGCTCCACCAGCACCAGTTAGCTCAGCATGGCAAGGGTGGGAGGTGGCGTCACACTGGTGTGGGAGCAGACCAGCATCTGGGCATCTGTCCCAGTTCGGTGCGCACTGCTTGGCTTAGTGGTGGTGGGATCAGCACGCTGAGGTTCCTGGCAGTGTCCCTGCCAGGCGTCAGCTCCAGAGAGGAATGGCCAGGACCCATCACGGGTAGAAATCAGACATACTGAAAGGACAACCATATTCCTCCCACCTTTTTGCATTTCCAGTCTCAGTCTGTAGTTTTCTGTCATACTGCTGTGTTTCAGCTTAGTTGGATGGAGATTTCCTGTGCTGAAGGCAGGTCCCCGTGGATGAAGCCCTCTCAGCAGATGCTATAGGAGTCGCAGGGCTCCAGGAGGGAGTGAGGTGGCATTGGCCATGCTGGACAGTGTGCAGGCAATGTGGCCTGAGACTGAAAGTGCCTGCAGCTTGTCCCAGGCTCTGATCACCTTCAGCCAGCAGCTCTGTCCCTCCCTGGGGGATGCCAGAGGCATTCAGCAAGCCCTGGCTTTGCCACATTAGATCCAGAAAGTCCTGCGCAAAAAGTAACACTCAAAAAATCTGTGCGGAAACTCTACTGACTTTTTTAACAGGAGTTGGGCTGTGCCTCGTAGGTGTAAATCTGAATTTCTGTACCCTTTAATGAGGAAAGGCAGAGGGTGTGTTTTTTTGTCCCGATGGGGCTGAAAAGAGGGTTCTGGGCTGGGCTGTGTATTATCATAGAATCACAGAATGCTTTTGGTTGGAAGGGACCTTAAGGACCATCTAGTTCCAACCCCCTGCCATGGGCAGGGACACCTTCCACCAGACCAGGTTGCTCCAAGCCCCATCCAACCTGGCCTTGAACACTCCAGGGAGGGGGCAGCCACGGCTTCTCTGGGCAGCCTGTCGCAGTGTCTCACCTCCCTCACAGTGAAGAATTTCTTCTTAACATCTAATCTGAATCTACCCTCTTGCAGTTTGAAACATTACCAAGATTGTTACTCTTGTCTTCAGAAAGCAAATGAAGAGAAAGCAAATAATTCTGAGGGTTTTTAAATACAATTGCCCCAGACTGCTGCCTGGGACTGGCCCAGGCCAGGCGTGTGCTGCATGTCCCTCCTGGGTGCCTGGCTCAGGTGGGCAGATGGCGGAGCAGCACCTGGGCATCTGCAGGGACAAGGAGCCGCGGATGTGCAGGAGGTGCTGAGCTGGGCTGTTCCTGGGGGTGAGAAGGTCTGGGGTCTTGTCAGCAGGGCCCCCCCTGGCTCCCTGCTCTGCTGTCCCTGGAACCAGCCCCTGTCACTACAGCCTCTGCAGGGCTCTCCCCAGCTGGGCATGTAAACCCTGCTCAGAGCTGCTCCGCTCTCTGCCTCCTCCTTTACTTCCAACAACTCCCCCTTATTTAAAAATTACAATTTTGAGGAAAACTGGAGTGATTCTTCTCTACATTGTGCTGTTTGTGAGAAGCTGGCAGGAACGTTTCCTCCCACAACTGCTGCGCTGGGTGGTGTGTTTAACTCGTGCAGGTAGTTTTTATGGAGAGCAGGCTTGTTCGCCCAGGGACGGGTGGGGTGAAGCCATCGCCTGTGGCTGAGTTATTGCAGCAAGCACTTGGGGCATGACCTCTCCAGCCCACCTCGAGGCGGGAATATTGGTGCTTTAGTACAAGTTCTCTGAATGAGAGATTTGTGCAATCCTTTGGGTTCCCCGAGGGCAGGATGCCCCAGGGGTGAGGTAGGCCGGGTAGAAAAGCACTAAGGCTTTCTGCTCTGAGGAAACCCCCAGCTCCTTGCCGGGCTGCTTTCCTTTCTGTCACTGCTCCGGGAGATGGTGTCTTTGGCCCCCCTGCCTCTCCTGTGTGCATGCTCCACTTGACACCAGTAGTAGCTGCCAGGTCTTGCAGGCTCCAAGACCTGCTTTTAATGTGCTTCACAGTTGCTTTTGTGAGTGCTTTATTTTGGGGCAGGAAGGACACATGCTGTAATTTGCTAGAAAATTAAATTCCAATTTGCTAGCAAATTAAAGGGTCTGCATGTGAGGTGACTGCTTGGTGGGGTGGCATTGCCTGGGTAGCTCCATTTTCTTTGTCAGTGCTCAGATGTTTGCATTTTTTCTCCTTTTTTTTTTCCTAGTCCTCGTGTTGCATTCCTCTCTTCCCAATTTACTTCCCAATTCTCTCTCTGAGCAGCCACGTTTCAGCTAGCACACAAGAGACACAAAAATAAGTAGAGGTAATACCATACATATAACCTGTTGCTCTTTGTTAATGACTTGGGGCATGCACTACTCATTTCTCTTCGTTCTGCAGTGAGGCAGCGGTGAGGTGTGCTGCTGAGGCACGGCCCCTGCTTTAGAGCGGCCTG